TACTAGGACAGATACAATATCCAGCTAAAAGTAAACATGATAAGACTGTACCAGTTGGTGCATAGAACTTGAAGCAGGAGCTAGGGTGATCGTTGAGACAAGGAATCGACTGGTGAGGCTTTGATGTCAGCCCTGATGTGTTTGTAGAATACATGTTCTATCATATGGTGTTGTAGGATCAGAGAAACCTTTAGGACTTCAGATGTGAATTACATCTTGGATATCAGAGGGTCTGCTGAGATGTGGAGAGACCAGAGAGAGAGAGGGATATAGATAGAATACTTCAGTCAGCTCTCTGTGACATGTCAACTTATCTCTGCCTGAAGATGTTTTAGAAAATTATTGGATGGAATTTTGGTAATTATTCTAATATAATTAATATCTTTTTGGTGTAAAGGAGTATTTTGTCATAGCCGTTTCTCTTTAATGGATACATGAGCTTACCCAATATCTCATTTGGTTGTTTATTCTAGGTTTTCCTTAGACCGGGAAAGGCTATCACATAGGAGCCACTAAAAGTCAGTTCTGTTATTTCAGTGCAGAAATGTCCACCCGTGAATAACACACATGCACACCTGACTCAAAGTCTGCATCCTTTGGTCTGAGTGAGCTGTCTGCCTGCTCCTCTTTCCTGTGTGCACAGTAGAGGACAGCAGTGTGCTAATAGGTTACAGTGGTGCTAACTAAAGCCAGCCAACCTGTCGCTGTGTAGGCCGAGCGATGACTTTTGCTTCCTTTCAACTTACTTAAAGGCATCCTTCTGGCTTTAAGTAGGGTTTACGCCCAATTCTACCACATCACTAAGTGAGTTCTGTCTATCTCAGAGGCTTTTTTTTTTTAAATCGTTCTTGGATTAGAGATTTCATTAAATTTCATTGAGCACCTAAGGCTTAAATTTACAGCATTGCTGAGCACTTGAAAGTTCTTTTGTTGCTCCCATTAGCTGGGAGACAAAATGATGGGAATTCATACATGCTTAGAGATACTAGATATTATAATAGGATTGGATATTAGACCTTCGCCATACAGTGTCTTGCTTAATTGCCCCGGCACCCTAGTGAGTTAGATACTATCATGTTTTTATAGGTAACAAAATAGAATCAGGGGACTTAATATCTTTCCAAAATTCAGAAGGAGTCTCTGTAGTCCCCAGTTTTCCTTAGCAAAGAGAAATTTTCTATTGGAATGTGCTACATAATGAAACTTTCCTGTGATTTGTGAAACATAGTCAAAGTTAGATAAACAGGGATGTCAGATGTCAAAATACCTCAGATTACTTTTACGAGATATTTTATGTGCATGCTGTTTTCTCTGACAAGCAGGGAGTCACATTTACACTGCGCTTGTTTTCCTGAATAGGCACACAGATCTAATTATTATTAGAAGAAATTTGGCTTTCATTCACACACTGATGTGAGTTTTGGAAAACATTTTCTGAGTCATTCAAATTCAAATTGTAAAAAGATTTTAGTTTTACCACTCAACCTTTCTTCTTTGTCTCAGAATATTGCCACAAATTAACCATGTTTGACAAGCTTATGCCAAAACCTAATAGCTCTATAATAGAAACAGTTTTGATTTCCTCAAAGTTGAGTTGACATAGGACAGTTGTGATGAAATGTTCATATATAACTCCCATCAATCTTCCTATTAATCTTTCTGCCTACCTATCTATCTGACTGTCTATGTATCTATCTATCTTCCATGAACAAATGAGGGTAAAATGATCTCACGACCATCATCTTACTAGGCATAAATCCAACTCCCACTTGTTTTGTATGTTCATTGTATAGTCTTGTAAAAGTTAACTCTACTAATATAAACATAAAGTGTTTTGGGATAATGATCCTTGTTGTGCATCCATGTTTGTATAATAGCATAAAGGCCAGCAAATCCCTTTCTCTCTTTTTTTCTTTTGGTTGTTTTGAGACCGGGTTTCTCTGTAGTCTTAGAGCCTATCCTGGAACTAGCTATTGTAGACCAGAGTGGCCTCTAACTTAGAGATCTGCCTCCCGAGCGCTGGGATTAAAGGTGTGTGCCACCACTGCCCGGCAAAAAGCCAGCAAATTTCAAAACAAGAATATCTATTGATGTAGAATATTGTTTTAATTAGGCAAAGATGTGTTACATTTATTTCTACTACAGAATATTATTTTAATTGTGTAAAGGTGTGTGACTTTTGTTTATACTTCATTTGCTTAATAGATAGGCATGTGTGCTTAATTATGAAAAGATGTGTTGCATTTGCTTGACCTTGCCTGCCAAAGGAACCTGATAAAGCACTGACCGGCTAGGGAGAGAGTAGGATACGAGGGGCTTCCAGTCAGAGAGAACAAGTAGGAGAAGAACCCTAGGTTCAAGGAGAAGAAGGAGACACCCATGGCAAGAAGACAGGCAGCCACTGCCAGCTAGCTGACATAGAGAAGAGGTCAAAGTAAGATATACAGAAGTTAGAAAGATAAAAAGCCCTGAGGCAAAAGGTAGATAAAGAGAAACAGGTTAATTTAAGTTAAAAGAGCTAGCCAGAACTGTGCTTAGGCTAGGCCGAGCTTTCAAAACTAATAATAAGTCCCTGTGTCATGATTTGGGAGCTTATTGGTGTCCCCAAAGAAAAAGCCTGGTACCATCGACTTTCAAAATGGATAAGAAGGGAAAGATGATACATTTTTATTTTAAAGTAAACAAGCGATACAGAGAAGAAATGAAAAAGTCATGTGCAGCTGCATCCATATATTGTGTGCCTGTGCCCCACCCCCACCAACTCCATGTGTTAATGGAAGGCTAACAGGGTGCTAAAGGAGAGAGGTCCACAGTGAAGGAGGGCTCACAGAGAAGATCTGCAAGGCTATATCTGCTAAACCTGTGGCCCCAGAGTTTGCACTTTATTTTATTTTATTTATTTATTTTTGGTTTTTCGAGACAGGGTTTCTCTGTAGCTTTGGAGCCTGTTTTGGAACTAGCTCTGTAGACCAGGCTGGCATCGAACTCAGAGATCCACCTGCCTCTGCCCAGCTGAGTACATACTTTAAAAGGCCCCTGTAAATAAGGGAGAAGAGGTGCCACAGGCAAAAAGAGGAAAAGCAGATGCTGGTAATCATGAGGGTGCTCTGTACACGATAAGGTGCCCAAAAGACCAAACTCAGAATGAAGATACTGGAGATGCTGACGGAGTCGGCATCAGTGATAGCCATGTACTTCTGGGGACTGTAGACTTTGACATACTGTGCTATCAAGTTTTATTTGATAAAATAAAAGCAAGAAGAAGCGACATGTAGGAGGATGGGCTAAGTGGTAGGAAACTTGCCTAGCAATCACAGGACCCAGCCTATGGCCCTCAACACCAGGAAAAAATAAAGAAGAAGGAAGGAAGAGATTGTCTGCATAGGATCAATTTTCTGTGAACTGAAGCTTCAATTAGTTAGCATCCTTCTAATTTAACTAGAAAATTCTGCAATAGTACACATTTTTAACTTCAGTCAGTATTCAAGTTTGCAAAAGTTTTACTATCAAGGAGTGAGGTTTGGGAGATTAGGGGCACAGAAACCATTGCCCTTTTCAAATAATTCACGAGCGCACTAATTATGTGTCAGATATGAAAGCTGAGGTATTGTGACCTTCAAGCCAACAAAAGGCCTTTCCAAGTAAGCCATTTTCATGTACATTAATAAATTGAACAATGCTTCTCCATAGCTAAATAATAGATGTCTGCTATTCTGTCATATGTAAGAACAAAGCAGAAGTTGTTTTCCCATTCACATATTAAACATGGTGTCAGAAAAAGCAAGACATATATCCACCGAAATTTCAATTCATGGTCTTAAAATAGTGGCCCAAAGAAACGTGCTATTTATTTGCTAGTCCTACAACCCCTGAATCTGAGTTCACTTTGTATTTTCGCACATGAGGTGCAAGGTGTTTCCCCTGTATTGATAGAGACAGTGAAATATTTTTTGTAAATCAAAAAATTACTCTATCCCCCAGGGACATGGTTTAGAGTAAAGGCATCTACCGTGACATCTGAAGATCTGAGACCTGCCCCCACATCCTCACAATGGAAGGAGAAAAACAAATTCCCATTAAGTTGTCCCCTGATTTCCACATGTACACATGGTTCTTGCTCTGCTGCATGCATGTGCACCCCCACAACACCACTGAAGTTTTTTTAAAAAAAATTTAAAATAATTGCATTTCTTTAGAAACGCCCATGGTGCTAGTAAGAAGAATTTTAGATAAACTGGTGTTCAAAGGAAGGAAAACTAATTCCACACCCTTTCTCAAATCTATGTCGTGAGATAAGAAACCTGTAAATACCAGGCTTTGGTAATGGCAATTGTGGTAATTATTTAAAAAGAATGCCCATTTCAGTAAAAGGTAGTGTAAGCTTCAAAAGCGGTGGTTAAAATAGATTTGGGTGTCACTAATACTTGAATTAAATTGGCTGCCAGAATGTCAGATAATGTTCATTAAGTTACAGTAGAAAAGCAAGAACAGGAAATAATATTTAATTATCTTGTGTTAGTCCAGCCTGGGATCCCAGCATATTTGATGTTGAATAAAACATGAATAAGATACAGCAATGCTTAATGCAACTTCAGTGTGCATAATAGACCTCTGGGAAATAATAAAACAATTACAATCTTAAAATAAACCACAATCAAAGGAGCTTCCAAGAACCTATTAGCATGCGATCCATGGATAAACCTTACCCAGCCCCCTAAGAATGTCTTATTATGGGTTAGATGTTGATAACTATGGGAGGCTACTGATTCATTCACCAGCATTTCCTCTTTATGTTGATTCCCTGAGGCTCCCTTTGGTTTTTTAGTTAATGATTTCTCTCAATGATTTTATGAAGGGGATATCAGTGATATTTATAAAAATGTTGCTTGACACTGCACTTGCGGTAAATGCATACATGCCCTTCTTGTCCACAAACACAAACATTTCTGTGTTTCCTCAGTGGCCTGAGCTAATCAGCGTTGTTTTGTATTGTATTGAAGGTGGCAAACCTTGCTTGTTCCATGTCAACAAATGAAGATGGGATTAAAATCGTCAGAATCGCCGCAAATCACCTGGAAACCCTGTGTCCACAGGTAAGGTAACTAAGTCAGTGTGTCCTATATGGTTATGCTTGATTCTTCATACCTAACAGATATGTTAGGATGTTTGTTATAAACAAGGCATAGTGGATTCTCAGATCAAGGCCTATTCTAACCAAGGAAGTAGTTCCCCTAGCTGTTTGGGATGGTCCTGTGAGATTTGCTGAGTTACACGTCTTCCAGCTGTCTGAATCTGGCTAAGAACCATTGCAAGTGGGCACATTGAATCTGGGTAATTAACCTCAAGACCCGACTCATGCCGCTAAATCTCTATAACCTCTACTTAAGAAACAGGCTCATTTTGGAGATTTCTGAGGGGAAAAATAGCTCTGTACCACAAATCCTCAAATATTATAAGATGAAAGGATATTTTTAGCGAAAGGCATCTGTTTTACAGATGAGAAAATTTGTTAATAGAAAAATTAAATTTTATAGAGATGATTATTGTAAATCAGTAGTTCTTCTGTCAGTAAAAACAGGATGGTGATAAAACTTTAATAGAAGCCACAGACAACCCTTATGCAAGGTTTTACTAACACAAACCATGGCATGTGTTTATTTTGGTAAGGGTTTTTGTTTTAGAATTTTAGATGACAGTTCATGGTGGTAACGGGGATAATCTTAACACTCTCATACCCGAGGATCAGAAGTGTGAGGCCACCAACCTGGGCTAGAAAGACAGTGTCCGAATGCAGTTGAACCCATACCAACCCAACCAAGCAACCAAAGAAGATGTGACTCGTCAAAACTGTTTTCTTGGTAACTGTTCAGTAGTTTCTTAAGATCCAATGAACAGCATAATTTTAGGGAATTATTTTAGATCACTGGTTTCTTTGAAGTCATGAATTAGAATACATATTAGGGCACATATTAAATATTAAACACACTAAAAAAAAGCAGAAAAGGTGTGCATATAGACTTATGTAGAGTTACAGATGGTGTAAGGAAAACTTGTTAAATGCTTGATTGACCTTACTGGCAATGTCATTGCCAATACTACTGAGGGAAGAACCAAGGTGTCTGTTTCTTTAGAATTAAGACTTGACTAGCTGGTCTGAAGCAGTGATCTTCCAACTGATAAGAAGTCTTCTATGGAGCTTGTGGGGAACAGGGTATTGCAGCAAGATCTCTAATGCTGTTGAGCTCCTGGTGAACCTACTCTTACATGTGAAATGGACTGAATTAATCTTATGAAGGGTTTATGAAGGTATCCACAGGTGAAGTGAGTTTGTAAGTTGGCTAGTTCCGTAAAGTCCACAAGACATGGATTACCAGCAGGTCTCTCCAGCTGCTGGCTCTTAGAGTTTTTCTCCTGCTTCTTCTCCAGTGTTTCCCGAGTCACTGGGAGAGCATGTCCCAGTTAGAATCAAGCACATTCACCTATCCTCCTCAATTTGACAAATTCTGAGTCTCTATATTAGCCACCATATACTGCATTAAGAAACTTCTCTGGTGATAGGTGTAGGTTCTAAGGATTTGTGGTAATAAGGGTATATATTTAGAGGCTTGACTTGGATACTATATCACTTCTTTGCTGATGTTTTAAATTAGAGTATATCTATTGCACATGGTATTGTATCTCATAGGGATATTTTCATGTGTGTATTGTTCTTTGACCCCATTGCGCCAAGGATTTCTATGCTTTCCTTTATTTCCTTTCCAAGTCCTATTGGTCTCCTTAATTTCCCTAGAGAGTTTCACATTACTTTCCTGTATAATATGCATACATGATTTTATATCTCAGCAGAGAATTTATAGTCCCCAAAGAAAAATAAAGCATAATGTTTGTCCTTCTGAATCTGACTTAAATCTCTTATTGTGATATTATCAAGTTGCGTTCATTTTATGCTAACAATATAGTTTCTTTCTTCTTTATTGCTCAGTAAAATTCTATTGTGTATTTGTATACACACATATGTTACACATATTTACATATACGTGTGGGTATATGTAAATAAAATATTTGTTTTCGTTTTCTCCCCTTTTACAAAATTTTTAAAAACAACTCACAAATGTCATAAAAGTCATGTGATAATTTTTAAATAAAATGTTATAATACTTGAGATTTATTTTTTAGTATGTTCTCTCATGCAGCATATTTTATATGTGTAATATACACATATATAATATGTATGTTTATATATACACATTCCTTTAATCACATTTTATATCCTTTGTTGATTCTTTGAATTTATATTACTTCGTTTTTAATTTTATAATTAAAAACAATCTTTTGCATGCTCATGGCCTGCAAAAATTTATTTGGCCAATCAACCCTTTCCTTAAACAGTAAACTTACATATTTGAATCTCTGTAGGTCTCTCTACTCTGTAACTTAGAAAGTATCTAACGTTTAAGATACCCAAATGGATAATACATCCCTCCATGCCTCCCTCAACTATTTTTTCTTAATTTTTCCCTTGGTTAGTTCATGATATAGTCACTTGTTTGCTTCACTAAGATATTTGTGTACATGTAGAAGGATTTATTTTTTCAGCAAATATTCATTGAATAATTACTATGTGCAAAACCCTGCATATATTTGGAAAGAAAATGTCTAATAATTTATCCTCTACACTCAAAGGAAAAGCAGCATCTAAGGCTATTCAATAAATATTTATTCAACATATAAGGGAAAGGAAGGTTTCTAGCAAAAGATAAAGACATTACAGGATTATATAGATTAAAAAGCCTTTTGTTCTTAAGTTGTGAAAGTTTGCTTAATGTATGCATCTTACTGGTTGATAAGATAAAGATGCTTTTAGTTTTGGTTATATCGGATTAATATAAATAGAGTAGATATATTTCTTACTGATGAAACATTGAGACATTGGCTAATTAGCAGCAATCACACACTCTTTGTCTCATCCATGCCATTGGTTCATTAGTAATTTGAGTAAAAATATGGAATTATCTGTGAGGCAGGGTCATACTGTGTAGGGCTGATAGGACTCGTGTTTGCTTTGTAAACATTCTGGACCTAAAGTTGTAGTGATCCTCCTACTTCTGCCTCCCAAAGGATGGACATTACAGATATGTGGCACCGTGCCCAGCCTTTATTAGTTCACTTGTAAGAGGATAAAGAACGTGTATTAACTGAAGCTAGTCTTTTCCAAAACCTTTATATTCTAGAATATGAATTCAAATTAATTATGAAATCTATAATAAGTATAAATATTAAACCACAGGCATCTGATACTGCAAACCTAGTGGAACAGGGAAGGACTGGAATAGACAGGTGTCAGGACAGTCCAGGGATGGAGTTGTACGAGAATTCTGAGTGCTTATGAGAAAACTACAAGACAACAAGAGTCTTGTGACCTCAGTTTCTTTAAAACACAGAACTGTTCTTGAAACATAGTTTCATGCTCTTCCCAGGTGTTTTGGATAGGCGTAAGTTAACTTCAACTGTTAGTAATATTATGCCTCTATGAAAAGACATGTATTTGCCAAATGTGGCTTCTCCTTGTGGTTGAACACCTTACGCATGTGATTATAGTCTCAGCATATAAATTGTCTGATGCTCTGAATAAAGTTGGCTGCTTCATGAGACTTTCATCTGTCTAGCTTTCCAAGGTTTATGCCATCAACTAGAGTCGTAAGCACACAGGCACGAAGAAAGTCCTGACTCCCAGAAATACGAGATAATAGTTGCTTCAAAGTGAGTTTCAACAGCTTGTGAGAACTTTTTAAAAAGTTAATGTGGTTTAACATATGTTTTAATCAAAAAAAAATAAGTTCTGAAAGGATCCCCAAGCTTCTCTGAATTTCTAATTGATTTTAGAATATTTTACGTTTTATGCATCTTTGTATTTTGACAGCTTACGCATCTGGACCTCACACACATGCTTGAGACCAAAGGAAAGTGTTAGAGCCCCTGGAGCTAGAGCTGCAGATGCCTGTGAGCTGCCACACAGTGCTTAGAATAGAACCTGGGTCCTCTGGAAGAGCAACAATTTCTCTCAACTACTGAGCCATTTCTGAAGTTCCTCACGTTGACTTTTAAAACTAGATATTATGTATTGCATATATTTGCTTTTACTATTCATCCTGGAATTTGAAATTAATATGCCTGGAGTATATTCCAATTTGTGTGTGTGTGTATGTATGTACGTAGTAGTTTTATAGCTTTGTGCATTGGCAATATCTACTAGAATACAAAAATATTTAACTTTTGGACATTAACACAACCCCCCAGTATTTCTGAAAACACATAAGTGTATATATATATATATATATATACATATATATATATATATGTCTGCAAAATATATGAGTAAAATTTTAACACAAAAGCTTCCATAATGAATAAATCTAGACCCAAACTAAATGTCTGTCATCACCGAATTGAAAGCTGCTTAAGAAGTACGTCAGCTTGCATGAAGGTTAGTTGCTTTTACACTTGTTTGGAGGTCTTTCATCTGAAAGACAGAACTATTAAAAAATCATTCTAAGTTGACTCTCGAGTGAGTGGGGATTTCTGACAGCATGGCACTTTATTCCTGTTTGCTAAGTCTTGTTGAATTCACCCTAGGCTCAACATATTAAATTATTGTTTCCCATTGTGCTTAAAGTGCTAGAAGTAAAATGTTCTGTTACAGGTGGCTTGCTTCAGAGGAGGATTGTCGCTTGCAGCATATTTAACAGACAGCGTCTGAAATAGTGACATGTCTTGAAACTGAGTTGTATGTAATCCTCATGAAAGCAACAGAAGAATATTCAGCCAAGGAAACATAAGCATTAGAGACACATGTTCACTGTCATCAAATCTTCAAAGGGCCCTAAAGTGAAAGACTGTTTCTGACAGGCCCCGAGGGGCACAGCTACAGTCTCTGAGCTGAATCCAGGAGGCATGTTTCAAACCAGTGTAGAGTCAAGGCCGGTAGCAGGGTTGTTCTGACTTAAGTTTAACTTAAGACGAAGGATCTCAATGTCATAGACATCACAACGTTTGGCTAAGGTAGATGACTACTTCAGCCATATATCATGCAGAA